GGAGGAGGGGTTGTGCGGTGAGCCAGAACACATAGCTAGAGTTGATTGGTTGGTGAGATTCGGTGTGAGGCAATCTGTGCTGTGATTGGTTGCCGTGGGTGTGAAGGGGGCGTTTCCCCTTTTTCCCGCCTTTTTTTCCTTCGCCGTGCCCCATAAATTTACCTCCTGATGTTCCTTCCGTGTTGATTTACCCCATGCGGCTCCTCCTTGCCTGATTATGTGCTTATATATATAGATGTAAAATATATTTATTTCTATAAAACTGCAAGTTTGCGTCGGCATCTATGACTCCATTTGGACATCTGTTATGCAAAACCTCCACTTTTTTACTTTTACATAATAATGTATACCGGGAATTGCTGTAACAGCAGACCTCTATCTAAATCAGCAAAAACCAAAGTTTCATTTTTTTCCCCACGTCGAGCACAAAGTCCCCAAAAGTAGAAACAAAAATAAATTTTATTTTTTTTCTTTAATCAAAGCATTAAATCAAAGCATCAATTTGGCCATCTCTGCTAACTCCAATCATTTGTCCATTATGAGTATCAAAGCATCCTTCCATTTTTGTGCATAAAGTAATCTTGCTACTGTCAACATATTTAACATCAAAGTTCCAATTTCCCCCCCCCTAAGCTCTTTGTCCATTAAGCCTAAAAGAAAAGTCTCTGGTTATTTTTCTTTATATTCACTTTAAGAATCTCCGGTATTAAGACTACTCCAGTATTTCTTTGCTTATAAATCACATGTCCACCATGAATGGTACAAAGTTCGACCACGTATTGACTGACTCATGTGGGGCATCCACTCTGAGATCTGAAAGTTAATGAAAGCTCCCAAAGATTCAAAGAAAAACCAGAAAGTCCAGTTGCCTCTTGAAAAAGCACTTTTGGGACAACCATGACCTGGAGGACTGAGAATTTGAGATGTGAACACCCTTCGAATGGTGTGGGAGTAGGAATGGATTTCCAGAGGAAAAATTGCAGACTACAGAAACCAGAAGTGTCCTATTCAGGTGACCCTGAGGACACAGATAAACCCCCAAGTGGCCTCAACAGACCTCTAAAAGGATGCAAATGACCAGCTGTCTGCAAGGAATATAAATCATTCCATTCCCCACTATCCTGTCAGAGCTGAAGAAGCTTCTTAAATGAGAAGCGAAACGACTTCAAAACAAAAAACAAGAAAGTTCTCCAGAAAAAGCACCTTTGGGACAATGATGGATGACTTAGAATCTCTATAGAATTTTAGCTATACAATTTGGGATGAACACCCTTTGGATGGTATGGGAGCAGGAATGGACTTCCAGAGGAAAAATGCAGACTACAAGAACCATTTGCCCAACCTCCAGTTGGCCTCAACGGCCCTCTAAAAGGATGCAAATGACCAGCTGTCTGCAAGGAGAATAAATCCACCCCTTCCTGACCATCCAGAGCTGAAGAAGCTTCTTGGATGAGAAGCGAAACGTCTTCAAAAGGAAAAACAAAACAAAACAAAACAGAAAGTCCAGTTGCTTCCTGAAAAAAAGCACCTTTTGGACTCCCCAAGGATTCTGTTCAGGGGTGATTCCCGAAGAATTCAAATGGGGTTTTTCTCCATGGAGAGTCACCTATTCAGCCTACGAGATCCATTCCACCTTTGTGCTGTTGATTTTCTGTACAAGGAATGGGAAATAATTCACCATTGCAGGAGAAGAGCAGGCAAAGCAGAGGGGGGGCGGTGTTAAGCGAGTCATCAGCCTAGCATCATTACGTTCTCACAAAGGGTCCAAATCCAAACCCTCTTTTGAGTTCTGTTATCTGGTGCCAATGTAGCAGTGAAGTTTAGTTGATTTAGATTTTTGAGCGATAAATCTTAACATGTGGCCTTGTTCCTTTGCGCCTGACAACATAGAGCCAGGCCACCACCTCAGGTGCCCAATTGATTTAAGAAGCCATACGTGGTTCACGGTAGCCTTTCTAGCACTAAGCTAGAAAATGGGAGATGGTGTTGTGTTCAAGTCCTGCCTTAACCATGAAAGCCAGCTGGGTGACTTTGGGCCAGTCCATCTCTCCTAGCTCCCTCTCCCCAAGGGTAGCTATGGGGACAATAGGAGGAGGACGGTACACATGGATATCTTTGCCACCTTATTTATAAAAACATTAAAGGTGGGATATCAGTCTGTCTGTCTGTCTCTGTCTATCTAATCATGTCTGTATCATCTACTATGTCTATCTGTCTACCATCTGTCTGTGTATCATATCTATTTATTCTCTACTATGTTTATCTGTCTATCATGTCTGTCTCTGTCTTATCTGTCATGTCTGTCTATCATCTACTATGTCTGTCTACCATCTGTCTGTATATCATGTCTGTCTATCATCTTATCTACTATGTCTGTCTTGTCTATCATCTGTCTATGTCTGTCTTATCATCTGTCTATATCTAATCATGTCTGTCTATCATCTATGTCTATCACCTCTGTCTGTCTGTCTGCCTATCTATAATAATCAGGATTTTTTTCACTGCCAAAATGTAAAAACTAAAGGCATCTCCTAAATTTGGAAGGATTACAGTCAATTAAATGCAGGCTGAGCACCGCACCGCACTAATTGTCCTTTGCCCCTAAGGACCAAAAATGCCCTTTTTGGGGATCCATTAAAAGGAAGGGGATTTAGATGAAATAAAGTAGGGAAAAAGACTATCTATCTATCTCTCACCTTTATTATTTTGACAAATGACTCAAGGCAGCAAACATACCCAACATAACATCCCTCTCCTATTATAAAAATCCGCTTTCTTCTTAGGTAAGGGTCACAGAGAGTTATTTTCTTAGCTTGTAAGAGCCCTCCGAGCTTGGTCATTTCACATGCAGATGTTAACATTAGGTGGCACCTAAGATGGAGAGTACCTAAAGTGTCAAATGCCTGCCAGTCACAGATTCAAGAATCCTTGCAATCCAGCTCTCCGGCCTTTTCTTCTCCTCAGGTTTTCCCAGGTATACAGAGCCTCAGCTGGGAGTGAACAGTCTGAAGATAAATGTTTCCCTTGCAGGAGAAAGCAGTTTATTACTTCGACCTCTCTGGCAATTTTTCACAGTTCCTGTCAGTATTGGTTAAGAATCCAAGACAAAAAGGCAGATGTATTTGCCCCCACGGTTTGGAAGAGGCTTTGAAACGAAGCCAAGCCAAGTCAACGGGAAAGCCGGATTCACTTAACAACCGAGTTTTACTAACTTAAGGACTGCAGGGATTCCCTTAACTGTGTGTCAGGATCCCAGCAATTGCCCTAATTAAATCAGGATTCTCGAGCCAAACTTCAACCGACTTCAAAAGATTTACTAGAGGCGACATACTGGCCATGCCCTGTATGCAGCCAACTCTGGCCTACGTAATTGACAGTGCCCTGTGACCCTGTTTCCTCCCCTCCCAGCGCGTCATAAATCAGATTCTCCAATCAAGCACATTCACGGGCCGGATGTCATCGATCTCCAATTATGTTCTCCAATTAAATATATTCCTGGTATTTTAGTTACAATCTTTTAAAGATAAGAGTTGGAATGTACTTTTGCTTTCAACTGCTCTTCCAGATGTCCTTCCTTCCACCCACCCACCCTTTTTTTCTATGGCACCTACTAAAACAGGCATAGGAATGTTTTATGAGTCGACACTGTGGCAAGAAAGGTCCTAAAATGGAACATCATTGCTCAAATGATGATGGAGGATGCTGCAGTGGTCGCCAGGGAGAAAAAAACAACCGTAAGATCCTTTTTTTCCAGTGGTTGTGACTTCGAACGGGTCACTAAACGGATCATTGTAAGTCGAGGACTACCTCTAACGGCAGAGTGGGCCCTTCGAGAAATTATAATGGAGTGGGAGCTGATCGAAGGCTGGGAAATCCGCCTCCCTCCGCCTGCCCCCAGTCTATGAACTCAGCCACTTCGTTGGGTTTCCAATTAAGTGATGCAAATCTTGCCCTTTTGCAGCGAGCTTTTAACGGGGCCAACACGGCAAACGGCAGGCTTTAAAGGAGCCTTCAAGTCTTTTTCCCTACTTCATTTCATCTAAATCCCCTTCCTTTTAATGAATCCCAAAAAAGGGCATTTTTGGTCCTTAGGGGCAAAGGACAATTAGTGCGGTGCGATGCTCAGCCTGCATTTAATTGACTGTAATCCTTCCAAATTTAGGAGATGCCTTTAGTTTTTACATTTTGGCAGTGAAAAAAATCCTGATTATTATTATTTTCTTAGTATGGTTGGTATGAGTCCATTTGTGTGTGTATGTGTATATACAAATACATATATGAATGTATCTTTATATATATGCGTGTGTGTATATAAGTTTGTGTGTCGCTTTGGATAGTGAAATGAAGGAGGGGCATATACATTAAATAAATGAGGAGGAGGAACAGCACAGAATCAGATTTGTGGAATTCTGTTGTTATCGCCCATCTCAATAAATGTAATTTTAATTTTGAACTAAATTAATTTTAGCTTTTCTGTGGAATTGGTGTTCCTGGCCTGGGGAGGCACACATCTTTTAAAACAAGTTTGGATATCTGATGTTCATATTTTAGTTTCCGGTTTGAAACTCTGTCCCATAGTAGCTTCTGGTGCATAGCAGTAAAACAAAATATAATTTATTCTTTCTGTTTCTCCTCCAGTTAGCACCTGAAAACACTCTGATGTCCTTCCAGAAGGCAGTGGAGGAGAAGGTTTACGGTGTGCAGGCTGATGTGGTGATAAGGTAAGTTTTTCTGCTTGTGCTCGTATTTAAGGCTGGAGTCTCCAAACTTGGCACCTTTAAGACTTGTGGACTTCAACTCCCAGAATTCCTCAGCCAGTTGAAGTCCACAAGCCTTAAAGGTACCCAGTGGCATGGCTGGCTG